AAGACGCCACGCGATGTCGTCGTATATCTTTCATTTTTTTGTGTCTGCAGGGCGCAGAACTGAGTAGCCATTTAGATGTTTTCTGTTTTGCATGGTCGGTATTTATTGATAAATGTTAATTTTTATGCTATATATGGTGATTTGTGAAGCAATCGTGGGTTGTGGGGCAAGTGGTTGGACGACCACAGGAGTCAGGAGCGTGAAGAGTAGGTTGGAGAGGAAAAGAAGCAGGTCCGAAGACTACCCTGAGAACTCCCAAGTGGACGCCACCTCCGTGAGAACTGTTACTTAATCATCTAATCCAGGTACTTTAAAACTGATCTCGATATGATAAATTAATCTAAATCACGAGGTAGGTTTGATGTCACCTCAGAGAGAGGCCAGCGCCGAAGATTTTCATAAAATGATAGCAATCATAAAATATTATAAATAATTTTATAATACAATATATTACGACTTATGATTGTAGAATGACATTTGAAAATTATCCCGCGTGTGTTTCTTTTGAACGAAAAATCGAAATTTATTTTAAGGAGAAATAACGATTATTTGTAACCTTAGAGATGAAATATGATAGGAAGAATTGTGAAGAGTAATGATAAACGGAAAAAAAAAGTGTCCAGGGATGGGAACACTTTATCTTTCCGTTTATCATTAGTCTTCACAATTCATCCTTTCATACTTCATCTCTAAGGTTAGAAAAAATTGTTATTTCTCATTAAAATAAATTTCGATTTTTCGTTCAAAAGAAACACATGCGGGATAATTTTCAAATGTCGTTCTACAAATAATTTTATATTATAATTTTATAAAAATAACTTTCATCAAAAGGCATACATATAAATTATTTGTGCTCGATATATCTTTATTAAAGAGGTAATAGAGAATTAACAAACAACTTAATTGATATGAAGCACTTAAACACATGACCAATACATCTTTGTAAAGCGGATATAAGAGGTATCGGGCTACTTTTCTATTATTTAGATTAATATTTGAATAATTTCTACATTTCCTTATTTTCAGTTATGGAATATAGCTGTATTAACGGTGAATTACATTATATTCTTCTTTCTTATCTCCACTTAATCATATTAGGGTATCAAGCTTGAGACTTGACAACCATCATGACTGGGTGAAGTAGAATGCGTCTGCCTTTGTCATTAATACTGGGAGCATTACTCAGTGGCAGGCCGACTTAGCTCAAAAAGAAATGGCCGCCTCTGACATGAGGAACAGACGCCATGTGCAGCCGCTCCTAACATGGAGTACAAACGCTGTTCATCCTGTATCCCTGGATTAGGAGCCCTTACAGGGTACTATCAGCCGGGCCAGCTGAGCCCAGATTTTTTAGTGAGCTTGTTACTTCTTCCCCTCCTCCTTTTTCACCCGGGCTTGGGACCGGCAAAGGCGGAGTTGGATTACATTATAACCGAGAGAAGCGAACATTTTTTTCTGATTCACTTTTCAATCGGTCCTATTGTTAGGTGGATCTCTCCCGGCATTAAACAATATATCTAAGTCAGTCTGCATATCTCCTATTTTCATTCCTATAGTCTTATTTTTGGTCGAAGAGGTAAGGTAGTCATGTAAGCCAACGTGGCCGAAACTACCGTTCAGGTCTTCATCTGAAGAGGCCCTACTGAGTACCATGCTCTTTTCAATTGATTTGACCCTTATAGTTTTCATTCCTTATTTTAATTAATATAATAATATTAAAACATGTATATGTCATAAATTGTACATAGCTAGATGCAAACTCGACCCAATATGTATGAAATGTATGTCTTACAAGATTTAATAAAGAACAAGGCTTAACAATCTGGAGAGAGAAGGCCTAAGAGGGAACAATCATTAGCAGGGTTTTATTATCCCGGAACTCGTAAAAGTTGAGTTCAACAAACTGGCACTTCCTGGTCAGGTTAAAACAAGTCCAAAAGACAAAGACGTAGCAAAGACCAATCAGAGAGTAGCTCATTAGTCAAGGACCTATAGCGAGCTTACACGTCACGAATGTTCAACCAATGGAAAGGAAGAAGAGCTTTTTTCTTAAATCGAGAACACAGAATAGTCCGTTAGGAGCTCGGCACCATCGAGTTAGCACCTGTAGTTGAGAGCTGGACCGCACCGAGTTAGCACCTGGACCTTGGAGCCAATCCCATCTCCCCAAATCTCAGATAAGTCAAATACTCAATCATGTAATAGAATAGTCGCTAGTCAATTTCCTTCAACCCCTCGACTCCTTCTCTCCCTCGATTAATTGCCTTATTTCAACCCAATCAACATCGTGTCTTCTCGTTATTTTTCCCCTGTTGTGAACACTTGTCCACTCAGCACCAACGACTGCGCCAACACCTCAACAATTATCAATCAACTCATCAAAACATTATTTCACCCGTTTTACCACATATATGTAATAAGTAGAGGTTTGGTTGTTGAAGTTCTGTCGACTAGCTGTAATGAGTTGAGTTACTGTTGACTCTTGTAGAATCCTGTCGATTAACTTGGTGATGATGAAATGTCGACTCTCGCTATACTATGTTAACCGAGAGGAACAGCCAGGATGTAGAGTTTTCAAGTACCTCTCTGCACCTTGGAAGACCTTTAAAAGTTCTCACAAAATACAGGCAGTCGTGGTCGAGGCAGAGTGGAAAGCTTGGGAATGTCCACACAAAAAAACGAAGACACAGTTGCACTAAGAAAGTTCCGTTAACAGATAAAAGTTGAGCTAGGAGCGAAAGATGGAGAAAGAAGAGTTCTTACTAACTACATGTTAGATGAGATCGACATGAAGTACGACCGACGCGGGCTTGCACTGAGGGTGAACTAAACTGTCAAGTGACTGTAAAGTGATTGTATATATAGGTTAAGACGGGGGGGGGGGGTTTTGTGACAGGGGCCGTTTCTGAGAAAGGGAGCCCTGCATGTCACCAGGTGTGAGAGGGGGCCCTGCATTCCACCAGCTGCGAACAGTGTGGGTGGTCTTGTTGTGGGAATTCTAAATCTCTCTCAACCTTGACATTATGACTTCTATCTCTTGCTTAGCTCAACTCTTAAATCTATTACAGATTTTTATTTATTTATCCTGTTTGTACAAATTACATTACATATGATGATGTAAAGACACCTGTCCATAATACATATAATCATTAACAGATGTGTTTCTATTATACAACATTAAAATCTTATTATAAGTTATATACAATATGGGGTTGTTGGTTTAAATTACCATATATATACACTGTATTAATTAATAGTTACAAAGACCTAAGGAAAAGTGACATTAATCGTTAAAAGAAACTCATGCAGTGTAACTTCAAGTGTCGTTTTACAATCACAGGCCGCATTGCATTAATATTGTATTATAAGTTACTTTATGTATCATTTACTAACAGAAAAATACGTCCAGGGTAGCCTAGTGGACATGGCATCTGCCCGGTAAGCAACACATTGTGGGTTCGATTCCCATTCCTGGACACTTTTATTTTTCCGTTCGTCATTACTATTCATAATTCATCCTTTCATACCTTATCCAAAAAAGTTAGAAATAGTAGATATTTCACCTTGAAATTAAAAAAAAATTGATTTATCGTTAAAAGAAACTCATGCGGTATAACTTCAAGTGTCGTTTTACAATCACAGACCGCATTGCATTAATATTGTATTATAAGTTACTTTATGTATCATTTACGAACGGAAAAATACGTCCAGGGTAGCCTAGTGGACATGGCATCTGCCCGGTAAGCGGAACATTGTGGGTTCGATTCCCATTCCTGGACACTTTTATTTTTCCGTTCGTCATTACTCTTATATATATATTTTTTAAGTAACCCAGGTTCCTGGAGCGTACAACTACCCGATCATTACTCTTCATAATTCATCCTTTCATACCTCATCCAAAAAGGTTAGAAATAGTCGATATTTCACCTTGAAATTAAAGAAAAATTGATTTATCGTTAAAAGAAACTCATGCGGTGTAACTTCAAGTGTCGTTTTACATTAATAGGTTCGCAAGTTTGGATCAGTGCGACTCCTCACTGGGATTTCTCTCTTAAATTTTCTTATACTTAGTACTTTCTCTATTCATATTTTATATAGTGTAAATATTTTAGGTTCATTTGATTGACATTTTGTCTTGTATCCTCTATTATCACACTAGATTGACATTAAAATAGGCTTCATAAAAAATCACAAAAATAAATTTTATAAAAATAAAAACCGTATCATCTTTCTTCAAGTGAGAATCTAAGAAGAAAAAACTTCTCTCTCTTCAGCTTAATTTTAATTATTGGAATATTATCATGGTTCTGTCTTTGCTCTTTTATACAAAACTATCTCTTCGTTTATTCCTTATTCTACCCAGCCCATGACGTGTAACGGCCGAAGCTAATGCTGGAGTTTTCTCTTTTTGTTTTTATCTTATTATATCCTTCTCTATTTATTTATATATATATATATATAAACCTATTATGCTTAGTTTAACTAACAAATATATTAAAAAATTGATTTGTTTAATGTTATATATATATGGTGATTTAAACCAACAACCCCATATTGTATATAATTTAACAATATTTTCATATAGTATAATAGAAACACATCTATACATAATTATACGCATGATTGACATGTGTCATTACATCATCATATGTAATCTACTTTGTACAAACTTAGGATGAATAAATAAAACTCTGTAATAGATTAAGAGCTGAGATAAAGCAAAAGATTGAGATAGAAGTCCAACAACGAGGCCTAAAGATAGGAAACTGTCAGGTCATTGACAGAGTGTACAATATCGCTTCCGATCCACGCTCTTGTTGCATCCGCTGGAATTCAGTACTTCCTCTCTCGGCAAAAATATATAAGACCTGCGCCCTAGCCGAAAATATTGTCACTTCACCATCAGCGGGAGCCCTCGTTACTTCATCTTCTGATGTTCGACCATGCCGTAGACCAGTAAGAAAGCTTCTTATCTCTCCATCTTTCGCTCCTTAGCTCGACTCCTATCTGTTCACAAAACTTTCCTACAACAACTGTGTCTCTTCGTTTTTTGTGTGGACATTCCCAAGCTTTCCACTCTGCCTCGACCACAACTGCCTGTACTCTGTGAGAACTGTTAAAGGTCCTCCAAGGTGCAGAGAGGTACTGGAAAACTCTCCACGCCCTGATTGTCCCTCTCGGTTACTATAGGTTTGCCCCTCTCGATAACCACACCACAGCGAGAGACCCTCGGTTATCACATATATATATATATATATATAATAGATTCGATAGAGAGGGATTTTTGCTCAAAAATATTCTTATCAAATATTTATTAGGTAAACTTTCATTCTGGCAAAAGCCGGGTACATCCCCGCTAGGATATATATATATATATAATACTACACAATTATTGTTCAGTTATAGCTTTCTATTCTATTCACATTTCAATATACATATAAATAAACACATTAATCAACATAAAAAAACATGACATATATTCCTGTTTCCAAATAACTAGTGATGAGGTTTTGTGTGTAATAAAGTTCTCTTATATAGCATCAAAATATATCCAGATTTTTTAAATAAAATATTTTATTTGAATATCTGACAAAAAAAAATATTTTTACAATTTTCAAAATTCTGGTGAATGCTAAAATTATCTTTTTTTATTATAATAGCCCTTTATTCATAGTCACTGGAGTTTAGCTATATAGTGGAGATGTTCGAAGCAGAATCTCTATATTCATTAAACATAATTTTTCGATGAATTTTGTTATTCAAGATAATAAAATTCCTAGTTTGTTATGCAGTTTAAAAAATTTTAAGGCAATGAATATTATTTTGAAAATTTCTATCTTTTTCTGTTCAAACATATGTAATATCAGATGATTGTTTGATATTAATTTATCATCCATTCTTTGGTGATTTATCTATTCCGAGATATGTTTGATCATATTTTGGTTCAATTATTTAATTACTATAAAATAGTTTGCCGAGGTACATAATATGTGTGAATACATTTTTTATATTTTCTTGATATCTTAAATAAACGAATAATTTAATATTTGCTTGGTTTAATACATTTTATAATATTCATTATGCCTATTGAAGTTCATTGAAATTTTTCATGAAATTTGAGTTTTCGTGGCTCTCTGACAAATATTTAAAACAAATTTTAAGTAGCGAATACTTCTTCACTCTTTTAGAATTCTAGAGATATAAGAATTATTTGAAATGATTCCTAAAAATCATTTATTACTTCAGAATCATTTTATTCTAAACTTATTTTTCTTCTGCCTCGCAGCATGACTAACAAATATTTTCAAGTTTTCTTATATTTTTTCTGATATCATTTTTGGCATCTTCGATATTTCGTATTTCATACTGGAAAAGATCCGCATTATTTTCGATTTGAGCAAGAAAATTTGAAAGTTCTTCCATATCAATTCGCATTTGATTTTCAACTTGGGATATTTCAGTATTTTGCCATTCGATATGTATTGCCATTGAGTTATGTGTATTTGCATCAAAGTCTAAATCTTCGGATAATCTTCCCGATTCAAGATCATCCACAGATGTTCTAAGAAGAGTTGAGAAAAATCCACTTACAAACCTTGTTATTCTTCTAAAGGTATTATTGATAAATGCCTCTACGCCTGGCCTTTCTTGACCATTCCTTTCGTCGTTAACATCAATCGTTACGGATTCTTCGGAATATTCCATTTTTCCCCTTTTTATCATCTATTGTTTTGAAAAGTATGTTCGATTAGTAAGAAAACTGTTTCTCTTTAGTTATGTTTAGTTAACTTGATTTCTTTTTATATAGGGCCTAATCTTACAAAAGTATATTTACATAGTTATAATTATTACAACGAAATTTGCATATCTTTCTCTTCTAAAATAGCTTTCTTTCTCTATAATATTTTAATAAAGATAGTAGTAAATATTGATGCTCCTATTATTTTTATTTAACAACTTTTTATTTTTATTTTTTAGAATGATGGTATGTATATGTGGTAACCGAGAGGACACGCAGGTATGGAGAGCTTCCCAAAACCTCTCTGTACCTTGGAATATCTTTCACAGCTCTCACAGAGTACTGGCAGTCATGGTCGAGGCAGAATGGAATACTTGGGATGGTCAAAACAAAGAATGAAGGACACAATTGCACTGGGAAAGTTCTGTGAACAGAAAGAGTTGAGCCAAGCAGAAATATGGAGAGAATTAAGTGGAGGTTTCTTATTGCTCTATGGTGACATAAAAATGGTGGACTGACAAACGTTCCCGCGGACTTGGAGGTGGCGATCAATTTCCGAGTTTTTAGGGGTTTTTATAGTCGAAAATACGGAAATACTGGGCATTCGTCTAACGTATTACCTGAGTTGTCCAAGATAAAGAGGTCATTGTACTCTATGACCTGGAAACTTCTGACATCTTTGAGCCTCGTTCCTACACGCTGTTGGACTTCTATAATTCACTTTCGGCTATTTAACTCAACTCTTCTTATATTACACAGTTTTATTTTATTATCTCCAGTTTGTACAGCGTACATTACATATTGTGATACAATGGTTCATGTAAAACATGCGTAGAATTAGTTACAGATGTGTTTCTATTATACAACACGTTTTTCATCATATAATATTGTTATATTACACCAATATGGGGTTGTAGTTCAAACTCTATCATATATATGTTATTTAATAAAAAGCAATATATAAAAATGTATATCCTATGCAAATATGTTTCAAATAAAAATAGTCTGTGATGAAGGAGAGAGAAAGTTGGCTAGTAAGACTAGGCCTAGACAACCACGTTGCCTTGCCTTCATAATGGTCGTTATATTCTGACAACTCGGGTGTTATTGTCCCGTCCCACTCGGGGAAGAATTCCCTGAATTCGTTTATCTGCGGGAGGATGTCAACGAGGTCGTCTTCATGGTCTCTTTGGTGGACCTCGGACTTTCTCTCTGGACTCACGGGTTCCTCTTCTTCCTGTGTGGGTCACTCTCACCATGCCTGATCAAAATATTGATCATGTATGTTAACTTTAAAGTCGCTAAAGTATATATAATATATATATATATGTCATAATATCCGAAAATATATAAATAAAATGTCCTGTGTGGGAGTACGAGGAAAGAGGGAAGATAGCCCCGTTAAAAACAACTCCCTTTGTGAACAAGTGTCTAGTCTTCAATCTCCCCTAGGGAATTTATCTTACTTAAAGCGGCTTAGAAACGGCTAGCGTGATGATCAAGGGACAGTTTTCACCGAGATGGTCTCGACGCCAGTTGTTCTAGGGGTTGTTCTCGGATATTCTATCTTTCCTCCCCGATCTATTTCCTCACGGGTGTTTGCCCCTGGATCCTGTCTCCTGTGTGTCCTTACCACCCATCACTCAACCACCACGACTGCTTCTAACTAGCATGTCACACTGCATTCATCCTACAGAATAAATTATATTACTACATATATATATAACTAGCGGATGTG